TGTCTCACATAGTGTAATGCTCCGGCAATGACAGGGTGTCTGCCAGAGGTTTAAATAAGGAGGCAGGTGCAGCGTGTTCTTTATGAAGAATAATCAGAGTCAAATATCACCTTTCAAACATTTATTATCATAACTGAATGGACCTTCGAATAAAGCAATTTACAGAGCTCTGGCTTCCATCTATCTGAAGCCCTACCAAACAAAACCGTTCAATCTGCCTTCAGAGCAGTGGAACACTGTCCTCCTCCATTCAGGTGATTTTATACAATTTCAAATGTGCCATTGTAGGCTGGTCTGGTCCTCTCGTGCTGTTCCATTGGTCCATCTATCCATCCGTCCTCCTCCTGCATCCTTTCTGCTCCAATGGGAAACGCAGCTTCCTAAAGAGTGTGAAGTATCAAACTTCTACTCGAGTCCAGATAGTGGAAAGAATTTCAGTCACACAGCAAATATCAAAGTGCACTATATTACCTTTTATTAGCAGATATATCTGGAGATCATACAGCAAGCAGCAGGGCAGATGATCTAAAGTAAAACTACCACAACTGTGTAATATATACTTTTTCCCCTCCCCTTACACATTCTTGCTTATGCTGATCATACAGCTGAAACCAATTGATATTAGCCAAAATTCTCTCATAATACACAGCTTTACCTCCCCGAAACCAAAGTTTCATTTCTTGTGATAAGAGAAGCACACACACAATGGTTTAATGAGCATTTTGTGAGATTGTCAAGATTATATTATTAAAACTTATCCTTATTAGTGCATTCCATTTACTTTCCCTTTGATTACTCCCTTTAAACAGAGCTGTGCTAGGCACAACTCCCCAGAAGTGCATTTAATAATAAGTGAACACACTACAATCATGTGAAGGTTATACTTTATCTCATAATGCAGTGTCTTATTAAACTGACAATTTCCAAACTATGTTAGTGCTTTAGCTATATAGCAACCTAAATGCTTCAATATTTCACAAGAGGGAGGAAATTCTACTCTGTCTAAATTCCTACACTCACTTCTTTCTTTGTTACTAACTAACTACACTATATGAGACATGGCTTTCCGTTTGGCTAATTAAACTGTCTTGTCTGTGTGTGTCTGTATATGGTCCTGCCTTTGAAGTTGTCTTCCTCTTGCTGGTTTTTAGATCTAATCTCTGTTTATTACCCTTGGTGTCCCAGTGTGCCCCAAATTCCCTGGCCTCTTCAGCCAGGTGGTGATAATAAAGTATCGGTGGACCCTCCTTGTCAAAGCTGTAAACCTAATGAAATTCAGTGTTTTAGTGAACCAGTCCCCCCTTTGATGTTAAACAGTGCTCCAGTTGACTGACACAGTAAATACTGACCAGTGATTCAGTGAACACATAGGGTGACATGTAACTACATAAACATAACTGTAAGATTAAAGTAGGTAAACTTATGTGTGCTATAAACTAAATCTTAACTATGATAGAATAATCATACGCAAACAAAGTAAACACACAGGTTGACTAATCAACAAACACAGTGTCAATCTTCTACTAATTAAGTTCTTAATTCAATCAAATGTTAGAGTCAACCTTAAAGTATGACTTTGTTAATAATTTTACCCAACACAGGTAATACAGTAATGCGCTCCAGCTGTGCGTGACAACCCACCGGTCACTAATTACAGAAAGCGACACAGCTGGGGCACCAATCCTGCAAAAAGAGCGAGCAGAAGAAAGGAAGGCAGAAGAGAGGCAGGTCATGCCGAGCGGACCTGACAGTTGTTGGACTTAACTGTCCTGCATGTTCATTTCTGAGGAAGAGTCTAAGTCAGAACAACCTTTAAGATATTTTTATTACAATGTTCAAGAAAAGCAATACAGAGCTCTGGGTTCCATTTATCTCAAGCCCTATCCACACTACAGACGTATGGTTCACAGCCTCTTCAGGAAGCCGGAACCCCTAATCTCCTCACCCCAGAGAATTTATAATACAATCATGAATATGCAAAATGTCGGTTGATCTGACGTCATTCATGTTGTCCTTCATCCTCGTTCCTTGGTTGGTTTGTTGACCTCATTCTGACCCCTCATTTGGTGATCTTGTCGCCAGGCAGATTTTGATCTGTGAAATTCTCAAGAACAACATCCTGACCTTTCTATGCCCTAAGCACATAGGCAGTTGGTTGTCATGACAGTGTCCCTGTGACCCTGCCTTGTGGTGTCCTGTCTTATACCTCCAACCTACACATGCTCCGTTGTTATCAGCTCTGAGTCTTCTGTTTTCTTAAGACAAGTTAAATGGTTAAAGGAATAGCAATTATAAAGCATATGATACTGAAATAAACATGTAGGTATATTTGCTAATGCAGATTATAATATTGATTATAGAAGGCTAAGATTTCCTATACTATTGATAAATGTTGATAATATAAAGCCAAAACAATAAGACCTTATACCCACTCACAACTCTTCTTGCACACAGTTTAGTCATCTCAAGTGTACTGAAGCACTTGCTGCCTGTTTATTTGAGTCCCTGCACTTAGACACATACTCACAAACAGCATTTCAAGTGGACAGTTCAAGCCACTACAAAGGTCAAGCAGATTAAACAATCTTTAAAGCAGTTTTGCAAATGCATAACATAACATTATATTATTTTTTCAAGAATTTCTTTATACCCCCCCTCCAAAAGGCGGGATCCCAGACAGCCAAAAGAAACCCCACAGAAAAAGGCAGGGGCCCCGAAAGAAGGTGCGCAACAGGCCCAAACAAAAAACAACCCCTGCAGTCACACAAAAACAAAGACAAACGGTCCCAAAAGCAGTATGTGGTCTCAAACGGCAAATTCTCAAAACCATGTACAGAGTCCAAAAGAAAAGGAAAGGACACCCGAGGTGACTCGTGTACCAGGCAGGGGCGAAGAAGGGCAGGTCATGAGGATGACCCCGGCACCAGGCTTGAGAGCGTAGCGGCCGTTCGGGTGGATGCCCCCAGCGCCAGGCATGAGAGCGTAGCGGCCGTTCGGGAGGACGACCCCGGTGCCAGGCTTGAGAGCGTAGCGGCCTTTCGGGAGGATGACCCCGGCGCCAGGTTTGAGAGCGTAGCGGGCGTTCAGGTGGGCGACCTCTGCGCCAGGCTTGAGAGCGTAGATGCCATTCAGGAGGACGATCAAGGCCTCGGAGGAGCAGCCGACCAAGGCGCCGGACAGGAAACAGCAGGGACGGTGGCTGCTGGATTGGTGCAGCTCGGATGGAGAAGCCACAGGCAGGGGCCCGGATGGTGGCGCACCCCTCTGGAG